ATCGATTAATTTGAGGTGGTGCTAAAAGGTATAAGGACTAAAGAATATTCAAGGTAAAAGGACTTTCAAAAAGTATCCAGTAACTCAAAATTTCCTATTGGTCATTTGACTGTTAAATCAAATCCCCGTTAGATGCAGAGATCCTTTGTTTGGGCTAAGATATTATTTCTGTTGTATTAACTACTAGATGAGACAAGCTGAGAACTAACTGCAAAGTAGACAAATCCACATAAGTTTTATTTATAAAGTCACATAGTTATCAGGAAGGGCTGAGTCCTTCAGTATTTGCTTAAAATCTGTATAATCTTATAGCACTTAATTTCTACTTTTATTTCCTCATATAAGAAAAGGTTATAATAATAACATTTCATAGGCATATTATAAGGATTAAATGTTATTACATGTAGAACAATGAAACAGTATCTGACACATTATTATTTTATATGTTAATTTTTAGTTAAGTAATTTAAATTGATTTTTATGTCATCAGGCTTACCATGGCCAAGAATTATATAGAAACCTGGGTTTAATGTTAGTGTTAAAATGCTGAAGGAGAAATAGGCAGGACTCAGTGAACACAGAATTCACATTTCTAATTCTGCAGAATAAGACAACGGTGAGCTATAAGCCCATAATTTGGAATTTGTAGTAATTTAGGAGAGATTTTATTTTCCAGTGTCTGCGAAAGCAAGGTTTGCCAGACAAATAAATAAATTTTTGATTGGCATAATGGAAAAAATGTTTGATAAAATTTAAACCACATACAGTTGAGCAGTCCTTCTTTATCAGAATATTCTCTTTCCTTGGCTTTTATCACCATAGTAGTTTTCCTCTTACCTTTTGGACCAGTCCTAATTTGACTCTTCTGATGGCTGTAATTGTCCTTTACCAGAAGCTTCTCTTCTAGATCCTCTAGTCTTCTCATTCTGTTCATCCTCTTGAGAAAAGTCTCATATGCTCCTGTGATTTAAGTTATTTACACCCTCAGGATCTTCACATATATGCCCATTCATTAAAACATATGTATTAAGTGTCTACTATAGGCACTAGGTACTGCAATGCAGGGTTGAATAAGGCAGACAGAAATCTCTGTTTTCTTTTTTTAACTTTTATTCAATGCAGTAAGATGGAAATAAAATGGGTAAAATATAATGTGATAGTAATATGTTCTAAAGAGACAAATCAAAGCAGGAAAGAGAAATAAAAGTGTTAGAATGGAACAGAAAGCAGGAAAGAGAAATAAAAGTGTTAGAATGGAACAGAAAGAAATTTGGTCCCACCTCACCCCTCACTTCTGAGCTGAAACTGAAGCTCAGAAGTGCATGAGATCAAAACATCCGGTGCACCTTGGATGGCTAACAGTTCCTTAAACTTATCATGACCCAAACCAAGTGTATTATCGCCAGCAACTTTCTTGTACCACCACTACTGAATTGCTCAAACAAGAAATGTATGAGTTATCTTTGGATACTTCTCTCATTCCCCATATTCTACCTGTCACAAAGTTCAGTCAGTTCTATCACATAACTCTGGTCACTTCTCTCCATCTTCACTGTCACTATCCTAATTCAGGTCAACATCAACTCTCATCTGGATTCCTGCAATAACAGATCTCCCTACAGCTACTACCATCTTCCTCCAGTGTCATTAAAACTCATCTTGTCACTCCTCTACCTCCACAGATCAATGGTCCCAAATTGCTACTGCAAAGCTTTCCAACTACATCACTCTGGGGGGTCACTCTTACTCTTCTCCTCTAGTCTTAATTTTTTTTAAAGATTTTATTTATTTACTTGAGAGAGAGAGAATGAGAGAGAGAGAGAAAGAGAGTACGAGAATGGGGAGGATCAGAGGGAGAAGCAGACTCTCCACTGAGCAGGGAGCCCAGCTCTCAGGGCTCAACCCCAGGACTCCAGGATCATGACCTGAACTGAAGAGAGAAGCTCAAATGACTGAGCCACCCAGGTGCCCCTCTTTTCCTCTAGTCTTACAGTTCTTCCTTCATTTTTCATTTATGCCATCCTCTCTTGGCCCAGGATATTTGCACATACTATTCCTTCTTCCTGGAACACTCTTCCCCCAACTCTTCATCAGGCTAACCCATCTTTCAAATCTCAATTGACGCACTAACTTTTCAAGCAAATTTTATCCAATACCTCAAGCTGATTTATTTGTACCAATTATGGATTCCATAATATCCTATCTACCACATAAAGAAAATATTCTTTTTTCATTTCTCTTTTAGATTGCCTTTAATACATTGCCTTCTTAACCTTATCTTAATTCCCTTGAAATGTCAGCTCCTCTCTTCTCAAGCCAGTCTATGATAACTGCATTAAATTTATGTCCACTCAGTCTTTATACATTAATGTTATTAACTCTTGTTTGTTTTCCTGTCCACTGATTATGCTTTATTCATTAAAATTTGTTAATATTTGTTAATTTCATGCCAAATGCTACACATATATTTACATCATTCTATAATCAAATGGAGAAGGTACAATTATCATTCTTATTTTTAAAGAAGAGTAAACCGTGGCTTAGACAGGCTTACTGACCTATCCAAGTTACAAAGATACTAAGCATTCAAACTGAGATTTGAACCCAAAGTTCTGCCTCCAGTTCCTTTGAAACTCACAGTTTGCACTGTGCTATTGTTTTACTTGCTGAGATGCAAGTTACTTTTAATTCTTTGCCCTCCTCTTCCTTAATTTTCTGTATAGGGCAAGGCTTCCACAAGTACTTGTTTAATTGTTCACTGGGCTATTTTTATTACTGCTGGATGACAGTATTTTTGGTATTGTTCTCTTTACTGAATATTTTTCTTTCAACCCAAAATGAAGGGAGTCAAGTAGGAGAGGCTGACAGTGCAGAAAGTGCAACATGGATAACTAATGGTCAGAAGGAAAATCCTGTTTGGGGGTGTTTTCAAGAAAAAGACAAGTTTCCTAGGTTTTCACCGGTTAGTTAACCTGGGGTTCAAACTGATTTAGGAATCCTCTGGATATAATGCTGGTAACCTAAACTTTGTTTTCCCTTATATGTTAGCTTGTGTAAAAGATTCTCATTGTATCTAAGTGTAAAAAGAGAGGAAAACTGGTAGTTTTCCTCTGCCATGGGTCTATATTTTGTCCTTGGAACTCTCAACCGTAATAATTACAGATGGGAGACTTACGAATTTCCCCTCTCTCTCTCTCTCTCCCCGTCTGTCTGTTTGTCTGTCTCTCAACGGATTCCTATGAGCCTGGAGCCCCGCAGTACGCCAGACTGTAGAACTGCATGGTTTATGGCGTTGTTTTACCTGACTCAAATCCAGAAACTCCCTTAGTGAAGGCACACAGCTCTCCCTTCCGGCTCGCGTTCCCTCCTAGGGGAGCGGTTGGATTCCCGCCTCGAAGCCCTCCCGCCTCCACCCTCCCCTAGGAGTCATTCCCCGGAGCTGCCCCAGGATGACCCTCTGACCTAGGCGGGGTGGGGGGAGGGAGGGAGGTGGTCAAGAGGTAAATGGGTCAGGAGCTTGGCTGGGACCAGGACCCTGAGGAGTCCCGCGTGCTGCGGAGACCACTACAGCTGGCGCGGGCGACCGGCGCCTCTCCTCTGTTCAGACTCGGGCCATGCAAGCCTGCAACCGCGCGTTCCCGCTTCTCCCGCAGCCGCAGAGAGCTCCGCAGGCTCGGGGAGCTGTGCTGTAGCTGAGAGCCGGCAGCCCGCAGCTGGCATGGTCTCGGACTTGGGAACCAAGGCTGTCTAGTCGAATGGTTAGGGACACTGGCTTTGGAGTCCAATTCGGGTTCCACCTCTAGCCTACTAGGTGACCTTGGGCAAGTTCCTTCGCTTCAGTGCGCCAGTTTCTAAATCCATGAGGGAACTGAGGCGATGGCTAACTCCTAGGACCGTTGTAAGAATTAATTAATAAAGCACTCCTGGCAAGTAGTAAGCGCTCAGTTACTGGTTAGCAACGATCAGCAATAGGAGTTAGAAACGAAAACTGCTCTGGGTCCAGAATGTAGGTTTGGGCTCTGGCTTTTCCCGTTCTTCACTGAGGAGTGGGGGAAGGGGGAGCGGGAGCACCTGCCCTACATCCCCTCCTCCCTCCTCCCCCGTTCCAAGATAACTCCGGAGTACCGGGAGAGGCATTCGTCCTGGCCTCGGGCTCCTTCACACGCCCAGACCCCCCAGCCTTGTAGCAGCTCCCGGCTCCCGCAGCACGTCTCTCTCCCTCGAGCTGAGGAAACATTTCGGCCGTGAATTGAGTATCTCCCTCCGTCTCAAACCGCCGAGCTCGCTCGCTGCCTCCTCCGGGTCCCGGTGGCGGTGGGGAGCCGGGAAAAGCCTCGGGCGAGAGGGAATAGGTAGCCTCGGGGTCTGAGAGTATCTTCTGGCCCTGGGAAGGCGAGCGAGGACGAGGTGGAGCGGAGACAGAGGGAGAACGCCGGGTCCCCGGGCGTCCCTAGGCCCCTTCCTCATTTTGCCGCCTTCTAGAGACCGCTCTGGCTTTTCCTATCCCGAGCCACACTCAGCCACTGAACAGCCAGGTGTCCCTAGCCGCCACTGGCCCTCTCCAGCTGGGACAGAGCTCCGGGGGGCGCCGGCTCCGCCCGCGGCAAGAGTGGGCGGCGAGCGCAGGCCCGGGAGGTAAGGAGGGGCGGGAGGCGGGTTGGGAGAGTGCCTGCACGTGCGCGCGCCTCTGCGCGTGCTCCGAGGGGGTGTGGGGGGGTCCGCCAGGGGCGCCCCCCCTGGGGCCACCTGCCCTTGCTGCGCCGTGTCGCCGCTCCAGCCCTCTCGCCCCCAGCACCCAGGGTCAGGCGCTAGCCACCGGCTTCCCCACGCTCCCACATCCCATCACCCCCCTCATCCAAACCCCACCCTCCCCACTAATAATTTCCCAATGCAGAATCAGACCGAAACCTGGAGAGACAGCGTTGCCTTTCTGCTCCCCTCGCCCCCCTCCCTCTTCTATAAATAATCCGGACTAGCGGGTCAGGCACGTCACACGGCAAGAAACCGGGACCCCGAGGTTTTCTTCTCTGGGAATAGGGGGCAAAGGGTGAGGAGGAGGAGAAAGAAATCGCTCGTGAGTAGTGAAGAAAAGCTTGTTCCTAGACTCCTAGAAGAGACCAGGCATCATTTTATTCTTCCTTTCTTTTTCTTTTTTTATTTTTCCGTTTCTTTCTTATTCTCTACTCCCCCACCCCCCCTCCCGCCCCAAATCCGACGGATTGCTCAGCACTTCTCCCATTGGTTTCTTTCTTCCCTCCCCCTTTGACTACTGCACCCACCGTCCCTTCCCCCTCTCCCCCCACCGCACAACCCCCATCTCCAGCACACGTCTCGCCCCACGCAGGGGATGCTATTTGCCAGGAAATAAAGTTCAAACTCCTCTCCTCCTAGGCTTGCCGATACCAGAAGTGGGCTTCCAGGCACCCCTTTTCCACTAGCGCTCCACACCTGCTGTCTTTTAAATTCCCTATCTGGATTTGCATATTTAAGAGGAAACACACATACACGCCCCAAAAACCCGTGAGGTGCAAAACTGCCTCCAGGAACTACCAAAACTTACCAGACGCTCTAGTTGTTTTTGTCTTAACGAAAGGAAAACAAAGATTTTACTCTGGGTCCTCCTGTGGGGTGACTTTCCTATATTACTCAAATATGTATATGTTATACATATATATGTTTTTCCTTTTTCCCCTTTAATTTTTTTTTTTTTTTTTCTTAGCCAGAAAATCTGCTCGGTCCCAGGCAGCCGCCGCTGCCCCTTTGATGTTTTGGTACACCGTGCGCATGCGCCTCACATTAGAATTACTGCACTGGGCAGTCTAAGTTGGATCTCCTCTCTTCAGTGAAACCCTCAATCCCATCAAAAACTAAAGGGATGTGGAGAGTCCGGAAAAAGGGCTACTTTGGGATTTGGTCATTCCCCTTAATAATCGCCGCTGTCTGTGCGCAGAGGTAAGTGTGCCCAGCATTTCTCTTTTTCATTTCACTTTGAAGGGCTCGGTCTGCATACCTCTGTGAGCAGGGATCTGTAGTGAGGATCAGATAGATGCTGAAGACGCTGTGCCTGCTGCCTTACTGATGCCTGTTTATTGTCTTTTCTTTCTTTAGTGTCAATGACCCTAGTAATATGTCGCTGGTTAAAGAGACAGTGGATAGACTCCTGAAAGGCTATGACATTCGTCTGAGACCAGATTTTGGAGGTAATGGGGTTGCCTTGGAAATAAGAAACAGCCCAGCTGTAGCCTAAGCTGTCTTGTGAGCTTTGTGCGTGCTGTGTCTTCCTTCTCCCTCATTGTTGGCTGCATGTGGTATATCGAATGTGTCTCTGTGTTACCATATTGAGAAAGTGATCCAAACTTAAGCCGATTTGTTGCTATCCAGCAGTTAGATGGTCTTTCAGTGAGACCCTCTTAGAGTGTATAGGTGACTGCTGTTCTTTAGCTTCACTGCTGAGATCCTTTGCTTCACCGTCTTTGCTTCATTGAGATACAAACCTCTTAAGTTTAGTTAATGGTGTGCCTAGAGAACCTGGCTTACTGGAGGCCATCGTGAACATTTTTGAGAACAAAATGTGCAGGCAATTGGTTGAAAAGTGACATTAATCCCCTGTGCCCGCCTACTTTGGAAGAGTTCTGGCAATGGTTTAAAGTGGCTGATGTCTGGATGTTATCCAGTCCTGGAAGCCCCACTGTTTGTGGCGGTGGGAGGGAAGGGGTTGGGGAGGGCTAAAAGGCAGGGAGGGTAAATGGGAGAAGGGCTAGGGACCTTTTGCTGCAGCCTTAGATACACTGATATGCCCATTTAATTTTGCTTTAGACTCTTACGAAGCTCAAAGAGTTAAAACCTGCGCGCACTGAAGGGGAGTGGGAAAGAATGAGGAGGAGGGGGTTTTAGTGCAATATATAAAAATTCCCTCGGGCTAGACAGGTTCCTCTGGCTTCTGTGAGTTGTGTATTTTCTCATACTGAGACATCTACATATGTAGATAGGATTGGAATCCCTCTTCCAGGAGGGCACGTGTGTACATGTTCCATAGAGAATTCCCTCGAGGAGTGTCGGGCATTCTTTTTTAAAAAGGAGCGGAGAAGTGAAGAATATAAGGGTGAGCAGTGGGGGAGGAATTTGGGGCAGAATACCCCATGCCCAGGGACAGCTCTTGCTGAGAATGAATGAAGTTCTGAGAAATCACGTGGCTGGCTATCTTGGTTCACAGGTCCCCCTGTGGCGGTGGGAATGAACATTGACATCGCCAGCATTGATATGGTTTCCGAAGTCAATATGGTGAGTACTGAGGTTTATGGTTGTGTCTCCGCAGACCTTCATATGGGGACAGGAAGTAGAAAGGAGCCGTTTGGTGGGGGTGGTGTATGCATGAGTATGTGTATGAAGTGGGGGTGAAGACTGGGGATTTTGCTTTGGAGCCCACTGTGTTTGAAGTTTCAAAGCCTTTGCTTTTGGTCCCTAACGATTTTTCCAGCCTGGTTTGGATACTTAGGAATTGGTACAGAGCAAGTAAAATGCATCATAATTTTCGTGCAAATCACAGCCACATGCAGAAGATCCCCTGCAGAAGCCACATTTCCTAAGGTTTAGTGGGAAACCAGATCATCAAGGATTTTCTGAATTTGGGGTGAGGTCAGGAAAAGAGGGAAGGGTTTTGATTTGATATTTCACAGGGAATATAACGGGCAACCTAAACTGTCACAAAGAGGCTGAATAAATGACCCTGGGATACTGATATCCACTTGTTGCTTTCAGAGATGGCCTCTTCACAGCTGATGGCAATCACCTCCTCCCACAATTGTTAACCAGCTCTTTTAACGTCTGCTGCCCACCAAAGTAAATAACAAAAATTGGTCACCCTGTTTTCTAAAGGCAAGCTCAGACCCATGTGCCCTAGTCAGTCACTTCTGCAATGTTATTCACCGCATGTTCTAAGCTTGTACGGTTTATGGACAACAGCACTCCTTATTGGCTACCTCCTTGGACTTGGGGCAAATACTAAGAGAAAAAGCCTCGGTATTCTCGACCAGGGACACTTGTGGGGGGTTTGCTTCATGCAGGAGCGCCCCCTGCTGCCCATGTTGGGACACTGCAGACATACAAAACAATGAAAAGTGTCCCAGATACTCCCTGATTACTTGGGCTGCTTACTTGTTTCTCCAGTGACTTTTCTACTCTGTGTTTTTGAAGTTTTCTCCTTTGGAAAAGTCTCTTTAGAAAGGCCACATTTGAATGTAAGATGCAAGTATTACTTTCAATACTGAAGGCACACAGCACATTTCAGAAGATTGTGTTGTGGCATGGTTCTTCCTAGAAATGAAATGCACTATTTAAAGAAGAGGATGTTGTGTGTAAAGTTTTATGCAAAACACTTCTAAGTCAGCCACCAGGACTTGAAAGTTAGGACACTTATTAATTAACTCAAGAGAGACAAAATACTACATAGTGGATATGCTCTCAACATAATGCAAATTTTCATATTCTCAGAATTCAAATAGAGAGCAAGCTCAAATAACCAACCTTATCCCCATACACTCTCCAAAGATAGTTTGGATAATCCTGAGGTATCACAAGGTTATAAAACATCTCACGACTACTCCAGGGAATATTCAAATGTCAGCAATATTTTAATGCCGTGTGTATCTTCTTATATTCTAATTATTGGGGAGGTTTTTGATATATAGGATACAAACACAGACTGAGACAATATTGGGTGATTCAGAACCACAGATTTCCCACACATTATGAAAATCCCCTGTTTTCTAGAGAATACGTCTTCCTAGGGAAACTAAGTTCTCAGATACACAAATATTCACTTTGTGGGATTATGGAGGTGTTTCATTGATTTAAATTTGGAGTTTTACCATAACAATTTAAAAATGTCCTAATGTGGGTACCTCCCAAGTCCCAAACACTTGAATCTAAATTGTGTTGCTAGAAATAAAGTGATATAGAAATCAGGTATGGTTCTGTGTGCCCTATATGTGGTTAAATTAGACTCCTTTCTTTTGCCTTTTGATTTATTTATGTTGTTTTTTACATAACCACATCACAAAATGGTATTCTATGGAAAAATTAGGGAATAGAATCCAAACAGACAATGATGAGAAGATTAGAAGTTGCTGTGATAGGTCAGCTAAGAACTTAGATGTGTTATATCCCCCAATTGTTTAGAGTAGTGGTTTTTTTTTTTCTTTTTTCTTCCTTAAGTTTTGTTCACCTTTTACCTGCATGCAACATTTTGGAGAGGCATCTGAGCTGGACACAGAGCCAAGACCTGCTAGTCAAAATATAGACACCAGCTAAGGCGAGGTGTCATCTCTTAAAGCTATTTAGTGTTGCTGAAAAATCACGGGATGTTGAAAGTGCAAAAACAAATATCAGGTTGTAAATAGGCCAGTACTGCAGCATTAATGATTAGAACCAAGTGTTAAGAATCCCATGCCAGATTCCTTTCTTAGCCTACTGCTAACACATGTGGACTTGTCCAGACACATTTTTACTTGTTGAAAAATTAACACTTATTTCAGCTAACAATCAGAGTGACCTTAAGAAAAATTTTTGCAATGTATGTTATTTTTAAGTATGCTTATTTGATTTGAAGCAACAGATGGGAAATTTCATCACTGGTGTGTAAAGAAAAAAAAACCAATATGTTCATGGCATATTGCCCCCTGTATACAGGTCTAAAATTATTAGTATCTTTTGATTATTTTTAGTTCTGAAAGAATGATTGATTGATTATTTAAATGAAACATCAAAATTAATTAACGTATATATTTTTGCCTCATTATCTTTTGTGACCTGAAAACTCTGGTAATTGTAACTTTCTTTTACTATAGTAAATCTTCTTTGAGGGATGGTAGACACCAGCCCATTTAGATTGTAAATGACTCATTTGTACCAAAGGAAAAGACCCATGTCAATTTGATGCTCCTGGTAAATGACAATAATAGAAATATCTGAACTAAGTCAAGAGTCTTGAATACTAGTTCTGCTTCTGCTGCTCAGTCATCCTGAGGGAATTCACAGACAGATGGGGCTCAATTTCCTCACCTGTTACAGGGGAGGAATAGTCCCATTTTACCTATCTCAGGTGACTACTAGAATTAATAAAACAATATATGTGAAAGCATTGATGTTCCATGAACATAGCTTATGTGGAAGACTGGATAACAGGTGATCACTCAAGAGACTCTGCTACTCCAGCTGTGCCCTAAATGTACTTGGGTCAATAATTTATATTACCAGGTCTCAATTTTTTTTGTTTGAAATGAGAGGAGACATGTTAAATTGACTTCAACTCAAAGTTATATGTGTTGCTGGTTGGTTTAGTGTAATAGCTCTGTTGAGTACAAAGAAGTTCCTGGAAAACTTGGAAATCCAGCATAAATGTAAGGAAAATGCAGAATTCCTAAATATCATGCAGTTGTGAGGTCCTACTCATGAAGGTGAGGATGGTAGCTTACTCAGGTGACTATTGGCCCAATGCTAGGTCTTTGGAAGAATGTGATTTCAATTAGAATGCTCCTGAACGGAAAACTTGGCTTTAGAATGAAATATTTTTAGATGTCTTGGTTACATTGGCAGGAATCTTTTTGTTAAGACTCTTTGATGAAAAGTGCATTTTAAGATCCAAAATTGGCTCTGAGAATTATGGACCGAAATAGCTTTCTCTTCATTTAAAGCAGATACTTCTCCATCTTGAAACAACACATTTGCCAACCAAAGAGTGAAGCAATATTTCACTTTTGAGGAAATAGTTCTAGTAAACACACACACAAATTACCTTTTTATGGAATGGCAAAAGAGAAAAAGTGCTGTTTTTTTTTTTTTTTAACAGATGTTTTCTTGCATCACCAGATGCACAGTTTAAAATTCAATTCAACACAAATGCTTAGTTAGCTACTATGATTCAGCCATGTTGACAGGCCTTAGAAACGGAGCAATGAACAAGATTGATTTGTCTCCTGACCTCATGAGACTTAGCATCTAGGTGTTCACTATTTTTAATTCTTCTGTAGACTCTTACTATAATTATACTTATCTTTTCTCTAAAACTTTTTTATGAGCAGCCAATTGAGTACCTAGTGGTCTGTATTTCCCATGGGTTCCTTTGTCACTTGTTGGTTTCACCATTCATTTGGTATTTGCCACTTCAAATTGCTATATATGTTACATATTCATTCTAGCTTCCTAATTCATGTTTATAAACTGCATATAGACAGAATTATAGTGTATCTCCCCATGTGATTTTGCTCTATACACAATGGTTGGCTGGATGTTTGACTCCTGGTGAATATTGCATGAACTATTTTGTTTTCATAGCAACAATTTGTTATTATTCACTAGACACTGTACCGATATGTGGAGAAACAGAGCATAGAGTCATAGGCCTCAAATTCAAGGCATTCACTGTTTAACTAATGTAGAAAGAATCACAATGCAGGATTATAAATGAAGGAGGAAATAGGGTATATTGGGAATACAGAATACTGAGATATTACATAGTAATTACTAGGTGAAGATGGGGTTGGAGGGCTATGGAATGATGTTCCAAGCAGAAATAATGGCACATAGAAGAAAAAAACACAGGAAAGATAAATGGGTTAGGGATTTGCAAGTAGCTTTAAATGGCTGGAGTTGGGAGTGGGAGTAAGGAGGTGATAAGAGCTGGTATTGAGATCATAGGCAGTGATCAACCAATAAAGACCATTTTTACACCTTTCTGAAGAATTTAAATTTTGTTTTGAAGACTGTAGGGACCCATGAAAGGATGTGAATAGGAGAATTGCATGAATAGATTCACACTTCAGGAAGATGCTTCTGAAATACAGAGTTAAGCAAAACCTAAAGTTGGGAGATAAGATGAAAACTCATTGCAAAAATCCAGGAAGAATTGATGAATTGAGAAAGGGATGTAAAAGAGAAGATATAAAACTGGGGCATTTACAAGGTAGAAGCAAAAGGACTTGGTGAATCCCAAATTTCTGATGGCACCATTTGCCATCAATATGGAGGACGCAAAAAGGGCAGCCAAGTTGGAGGTGGGGTGGGGGATTAGGCATATGGACAGACAGGGAACTCAGTTTGGGCTATGTTGACTTTTCTACAGACATGAAATCTCCCAATGGAGATTGGAAAATACACGTCTAGAGCTATATAAAAAGTCATGACTAGAGAGATGAACTTGGACATTGTCAGCATGTAAGTAGTACTTAAAACAATATGAATGCGTACAATTAAATAGGGAAAGTGACAAATGGAGATCTGGTGAG